AAGGAGGGGGCTTTGTAGAAAACGAAGCGTTTGAGAGAGGCGGGGCATAGAGGACCTACAATAATGTATAGTATTTGAAAAAGAATGTGTTTTTTGAACATTAAAGCATGTCAACATATTCTGTTACACCAAATACACAAAATAATGATCTTTAAAAAAGCATCATATGACCCCTTTAAAGCATTCACCCCCTGGAATTTTTTGGTGGTAGCCGAGCCTCATCTGACTGATGCAAACAGGTAACGTTATCATGATATATTAATTGTGCATTGTAATATTTAGGAGGATCTAATGACAGAAATAGCAATATACTATACACAAGATAACGCCATCTTGACGTTCTGGTTCATCATCAAAGAAAAAGTGTCAGATTGAGAGTGTACTCCTAGAGCTGGGCGGTATATCGAGTTTGTACGATATATCGCTATTTTCTTTATAAGCGATTCAATATGAGACAATACCGTTTATATCGATATACAGTTTATAGTTTCGTTTTGCATATTAGTTTAAGCGGCTCGGCCCATCATATGCTCTGACAGAAAGGCTGCATGTGCCGCTGACAGAGACACTAGGCTACTCGCGCTGTTTAATGTGTTTGAGATGTGCTGCCTTCCTGAATGCATAACTTACATTTCACAGCTATATTCTCCATCTGTAAATGTTAGAAAGCCATGGAAATATTTCCATTTTCTAGGTTGGTGACCACTGCTCTAAAGAAACAGGATTCCCTAAATTATCGTCATTGATATCATTATCGCAATAAATATCAGAAATTATCGTGATACATTTTTAAGACCACATCGCCCATCCCTAGTAATCAAAATAGCCTAACACAACAATGTGCTTTTGTTCTCATTTATTTTCATTTTTAGTTTATTGAATTTAGCTTTCGCTTTAAAGCCTTATTTTAGTTTTTAGATTGCAATGTTACAATCATGGCCGGACTTACCATTGGGCTTGAATGGGCTGCAGCCCAGGGGCCCCGCCTTAACCCGTTTACATTTGTTCAGTTATGTGCCAGTCAGAAATTATTAGCCGCATTTCAACTGCGCGCACGGGCCAGCCGGGGCTAACAGCTTCCAACTACGACCTTCGAAGCCATAATCAAACAGCATAAACTGGAATTTATGATTTTTTTTCACATAGAAAAAGGACACGCGTATTAAATCATGTCTGCGCTGCACCGAATCGCCGATTAATTTGTGATCACATGGCTACTTTAAACGGTTCAATTAAGCCTTTCGCCCAAAAGAGCGCACATTTACAAAGATAATGATAAATTCTCACATGTTCACGCTTCACTTCTTTACAGAGGATGATTCTATATTATATTAATGTTCCACTAAATTAATCTAAAGAGTTTTGAGCGCTCTCTCCCGTCCAAAGACTATAGAATACCCTGATATCTTACAGGGACTTTGTCCCGTCTCACTACCTCCACACAAAGTGGAGCAGAAATTTCATCAAAACGATTTAAAAAAATAAAAATTGCCATTTACAGGGTTCGTACGGTCATGAAAAACACCGAAAGCTTTGGAAAAGTCGTGAAATTTTTTTTTATTTTATTTTTTTTACAAATCTCTATATAATAGAATATATGTTTAATCACGTCCTGAATCTCGGTGCGGGATTGCGCATTTTGGTTTTACTCATATTCGCAGGTTTCGCACGTTTGGAAAATTCCCGCAAACATTTATTTAATGTACAATGTAGGTTAGATGAGTTTAAAAAAATTCACACAGAATATCAGATGAAGTCAGTCATTTGAAAACCGAAATTCAGTAAACACCTTATATATCATACCTAAATTTAACTCTGTACAAAGGAAAAGGGGGTAAAAAATGCTTTTTTTTTTTTTTTTATCCCCATGTGCAAGAATGTGAAAAACATTAATACAAATGTGATCTGTTGTTTGTAACTGTTTCCAATTTATTGTTTATTAAAATTTCTAAGTATCATCATTCAGTTGTAATTTATTTGCTCACGAATATTAATTATAAGGTCTAGGAAAGCAACAATGAGAAGGCATGTCCGAGAAATATGATCTGGCCATTCATTATGACATCTTAGCAAGCGTTTGAGTCAAAATGTCCTGTCTGACTAACATGAAATGTAATGTCATATTAAATTGTGTTTCAGTGCATACAGCCATGAAGATTTATTGGATTCTTGCACTATTTCTAACTGGTAGGTCACTTTAGTTATTTTTAATGCAATTAAATTTTTTTTTTTATAATTAAATAATGCTTTTGTGCAAAATTATTATTTCACTATTATATATATATATGTATGTGTGTGTGTGTGTGCAGTGGAATATGTACATATCTGTTGTCTAATAGCTTAATCATAGCAGTACTGAATAAAAAGAATGAGGAGTTGCGTCACAATGACATTACAAGATGGCCACCTCAGTGTGGAGCTCTCCAGTTGTTTTACAGTTTTTGTTAGTTTGTCCTGTTTTTTTGTTTATCAAATACAATCAGTTTTACCAGAGATGAACTGCTGAACATTGGGCAGCACACACCACACAATCTTCTACCGGTTTTCATCTACCTGACTAACTCCTGCTGCTCTCCTGGAAAAATACATTTTTTTTTCTCAAACTTGTCACAAACTGTTTTACGTAAACCTGGCTGAATGACAGAGTTGGATATAACACGTTACTGTATTCTAATGACTTTTCCTGATAACGCAGTAATGTATTGCGTTACATTTTAAATGTATGTAATTTGATTACAGTTAATAATGTCAATAAAATTACTTTACTTAAGTTACAAATGCAGTGTTAAGAAAAAAAAAAAGCATTTTAAAATCATGTTTTGGCATCAGTAATAAATCGCTGGAGAATGCAGATGAGTCCTACAACATTTAGATGCAATGAAAGGTTGCCTATTATATTTTAAAATATTGCACTCAATTTCACATATTTTAGTCTGGCATTATAGTTTGGGAAAAGTTCAACTAGTAAATGTGTACAGGTTTATGTCACAATAACACTAACAAAAGTGAAAATAAATGACTCATGAGAACGATATCCTCCGCTGGATTAAGCCGCGTGTCAAATTGCATTCTTCTGAGGTAAATACAAGGCTTAGTCCTCACAGCGGGTCTTTTTCCAAAAACAAAAAATTTATGGAGTCTTAATTTACGGAGGTGATGTGGGCGTTTACACGTCCGCGTGTCTCGCACGGATTATTATCATATAGAGCGTGATT